CTGACCCACTTCTTGCTCTGAACCTCGTCTGCTGACTGCGGGGGTAGATTAACGAGCAGCTCCTAATGGGCCCTCGCTCACCCCCGGGCCTGGGTTCCGATCCCACCCGCAGCCTCCTAGGGGCAGCCCGCTTTGAAAGGCCGGGCAGCAGCTCTCTGCTCCGACGAGGGGGTCCTGACCCCCCAGGAACAGCTCTTCCAGCCTTGCCGGCGGGCTAGCCCGCTCGGGAAGGCCAGCAGAGCAAGGCAACTGCGCCAGGGGCTGCAAAGAGGAGCCAGAGAAAGCAGAGAAGAGGCTGGGCAGGAGCTCACCGAGGAACGGTGCCCAGGAGCGGGGAGAGGGACTGGAGCTAGAGAGGGAAGGAGAGAGAAATGCAAGAGGGCTGAGGCGGGTAAAGGCAGGGACTGCCTCGCAAAGGGCCAGCGCTCGCTGGGCCCTGCGTTCACCACCACAGATATCCGCTGCTGCCGGCGCAAGTAAAGGGAATAAAGGCTGCCCCTGCCTCGAGCCCGTCTCTGAACTTCCCGACACTCAGGGTTGCTCAAGCCTAAGACCTGGATGCAAAGCGCGGTGTGAAGTCCAGGAGGGTGTTGCTTTCATAGGCACCGAGAAGAGTCTATCGTTCATGAACATCCAGTAGTTGGACTCCAGCCATTTTGCAGACAGGACCGCTGAAGCACGGAGAGGCGAAGGGAGCAGAGTCTGACTCCACGACTGAGCAAGGCCAGGCACTAACAGTTAACCCATCCTCTGAGAGTAGATGGCCAAAAATTAAGCCAGAACAAAACATGGGGACACATCTCACAAGGCGACAGCAGAGACAGTCCCTTTGCCAGCAGGCTCCATCGTCCCTACAACACACCGCTCTGTCCCTAGCATCATGCCGAGGGGCTGGAAGCATTGGAGGTTTCTGCTGCAAATAAGTCAGCCAAGGGGGATCTTACATTCGTTCGCATACTCAGTGGACAGGTCGTCTCTTCTCCACAGACACTCCCATAACTGTTGAGGCTTCCCACTAGCAGCCACACATGTCCAAAGCAGCCCCCAAAAATCTAAGCTCCCCAGCCTTGAATAACAGAGCGTGGGTCTCCAAACTCCCTCCTGACGTCTGCAGCATCGGAGGCCAGAGCAACGTGCTCCTTGCTGCAATGTTCCTTCACTCTTACGGCAGTCCAAAGACGCTCAGCAAACCTCTGCGTTTACGGCTGGCGGACGTGGAGCCGGACAAAGCCATGGAGCATCAGGTTCAGGACGGGTGGAAAGCACAGCCAAGATGTTGGCCGCAGTCTGGGAAGCTATTTCCACGCTGTGCAGGTGCTGCACAAGAGGCAAAGTGCTCTGTGCTCCTCTGGCAAGCACCGGCTAAGGTAGGAAGGTGAAGGTCCCTCGTCCGTGGTTGCTGGCAGATCCGTGCTGACCAGCTGAGCAGGACCGAGCTCCCTGAAGGCAAATCTGTGGTCCAGCAAAACTGACATCACCAGGAGCAGGAGCACCCAATGCCAGAGTGAGAGGACAGCCCCATTCATCAGCAAGCTGTTGACACAACTGGAAACTGCCTATCAATTGGACTTGAAATGAAATTAAAGTTGGGGGATTATGTAACAGCTTTTTGGCAGGGAGATAAACTCTGGGGTATCAGGAGACCGCAGATGGATGCATTCAAGGAAGGCAGATGTCTCCTTGATCGTATGCCTCTGCACTGAGCTTGCCTTGGGATTTCAGGAATGGACGGTTTAGCAATGTGTAAAAAATGTAGCCTAGCCATGATTTGCACTTCAGGATAGAGCAGCTTTCACATCCCTGGGACCAGATTTGTCCCACGTGTAACTCCGGTGACCTCACCAGGTTTCCACCAGCGATGGAGCTGGCTCGTCCCAGCAGTGGTGTCAACAGACTTCCTCTTTTTTGCAAACACCCAACCCAGACAGGACCTGCTCCAGCAGGCCGGGATTCAGTCCCTGCCTGTGCTCCCACAAGATTTATACCCAGCCAGAGGACACAGCCCCTGCCTGGAGTGGGATGGGGAGAACGGCGGGGCTGAGCTCTCACATGTCTTGCACAGCATCATTACTGCTCCAGGACCACATGCTAGCAGTGACTGAACAACGCTGGAATCAATATCCTTCCCTCCTGTGAGCCCTTGACTTGGAAAGAAGTTTTGGAAATGGCCTCACTGCTTTCAAAAGGGGAATTCCCGACCTATCCCTAGGCCACCGAGCAAGGACCTCTGGGCAGCGACAGTGGAAAGAGAGGATGCGAGTTGTCATTGCTGGCAAAACCTGCTGCACTTTCTTCTCTGCTCCCATCACTGATTTCCACGGTAAACTGTGACCTGTCCCCTTCAAACTGGGCTCTTCCTTCTTCCCTCCCATTAGGGATTTGGGGATCCAAGGCTATAATATCCCAGCTCAGCACCACATGGATGTCAGCGCTGAGGCAGAACCAGTTCTCCTTCCCAGGGAAAACCCTCCTGATCTGAAGAGGAAAAATACTTCATCTGCTCCAGGTAGGTATCGAGGGGAGTAGCAAAAACACAGTCCAAGCTGCTCTACTTTGGTGTTGCCCAGTTATCCTCATCCTGCTGTAGCAATCACACTGTGCCTGACATAATCTGGAGAAGGCTCCAGAGCCCTTGCAAACATGCTAGCCAACAGCAAAAAAAAAAAAAAAAAAAAAGCAAAAGCAACAGCAACAGCAAAGACCTCAAGTGATGCCTGCTGGCTGACCCAGGGTCCAGGGACTGAACCTGCTGGGTGCAAGGCAGAGCAGTATTCCTAGCAAGAAATAGGGAACAGGGGAACACAGGTTCTCCATGAATTTCTCATCCATCTGTGAGGAGCCTGGGTGGGCGTTGGGCAGAAATCACTCCCCAGGGCTGCGTATGTCCCTAAGAGGAAACACGTGGAAATGAGTAATAGCTCCATCAGCCCAGCCACCTCTGATCAGCACCAGCACAAAGAGACCAACAGGCTCAGGAAAGCCCTCATCTTCCCCCTTTGCGCTGATGTCTGCTCCCCTGCAGGGACGCAGCCAGCCGCCAGCAGCTGGGGAGGCTGTTCCCCAGGGCTGCGAGCGCCGGATGTGCCCACCCAGCCTCTGATGCTTTTCTTCCAGCACTGACTTTGGTCCGTGCGAAGCAGCCAGCAGGCGGCAGAGAGCTCCAGGTTCCCAGGAGGTCCCCGCGCATGAGTCGGAGGAATTGGGAGAGGCTCTCTTGGCAGGTGGCATCGCAAGCTGCGCTGGGAGAGCTAGTCCCAGCCAAGGGGGAAGTGGGGCCGTGCCCAGCTGGGCTCACACCCCGCATTTCTGTGTGGCTGCTGCTTTGTGCTGGAGCTGCCCGGTAGCAGCTGCCAAGGCTGCTGCCAGCAGCGTGGGGGCATCTCCCTGCTGCTCCATGCGGGCAGGTTTCTGTGCATGGTGACAACCTGGCTGTGCCCACTCCCTGGCCTCACTAACCCCCCAGCATGTCTTTCTCTGAGCTGCTGGTCAAAGCCTGCCTGAAGAACAGCATCGGGCTAGCTCAGCAGCTTGGGTCACACCTTCGCTCCCCCCCGCAGCCTGCATCCAAGCCCTTGAGGAAGTCTGACCCGGACAGCGGTGGTGGAGGGCTTGCTATTCCTTGGGAAACGGGGATCGGGCCAGCAGAGACACGCAGAGTGGCACCTCCTCCAGCCACAACGTGTGCTGGAGATGGGATGTGAGGGGCTGCAGCCAGCAGGACCAGGGGCAGCCAGGAGGTATAGCATGATGCTGGGCTATTGAGGCGGCCCCACTGGGTCATCCCCCCACCCCGGGACCTGCACCCACCTGCTTGGTGAAGAGGATGGCAGTGTCCCAGTACTCGGGGTGCTTGTCACTGACTTTGTTCCACTTCTTCTGCCAGGCACAGAAGTTGCGCAGGGTGAGGGCAGCATTACCGGTGACTTTGGGCCCTTTGTCGTCTTGCCCGATGATGAGGAACTTGACCACTGAGATGTTGATGGGGTTGCGGATGCTGGGGTGCTTGTAGAGCCGGGCAGCCGTGGCCATGAGGGTAAGCAGGTAGTGCTGGAGGTCGTCGCCGTGGAACTTCACCATGGACTCGTCGGCCACCACCAAGGTCTCCACGTAGCGGGGGACGGAGACGAAGC